TTGGATGAACTAATGCGAATGGGTGTAAGCCTCGCTGCTCGGAAACACCCAGTGCTGACCACACTGAGAGACACGAAAGCGCAGGTAACGCCAGTTGGCGAAGTGGCGTTAAGCATCCCTAGCGGTACGAAAAGAGAGGTCGTGATGATATCATCTACGTCCGTACCGCTCCTCGTGGAGTAGATCCCGCATCCAACCAAGTCTTTGACCAGGGAACGGGAGAATTCCCACTACGCTGGCAGGCCAGCCGGCCGTGAGCGCGGTGAGAACGGGCTTCCCAAAAAGCCAGCCCGGGCCGGGTCAGCATAGAATGAAGGGGACGGCCCTAATGTTGTGTTGGCAAAGCCAACTTCTTGGGTTGCGGGCGGAGAAAAGCGGACGTGGGGACTCGGGTCGGGGCGCAGCGTAACTAAGAGAGCCATTCCATTTAGGGCGAGACAAAATGGGCGGGCACGGGCGGTCTGGTGTCCGAGCCGATTGGTCAGACGACGACTACTTCACTTATTAGATTAGTATTAGCCGCCTATCCCGGAATGGGATGGAATAGAAAGAACGCGAAGCGCTAGCGCTATAGGGTCGGTTTTTTTTTGGGGGGATAAGCTTGTGAAGAAGCAAGCTTATCCCCGCCCCGACCGGCAGCTGCTGGGTCTCCCCATCTCTCTTAAACTTCCCCCGGTCTTCGGCCCGAGCTGTATGAGGCAGAAACTCGTCCCACGTACGGTTCGGAGGCCGAGCCCCACCCCAGCAGTAAGGGTGCGGCTTAGGTCAACTAACACAAAGAAGATACAGTTCACTCAACGATTGCCTTTGGGTCCCGAACTCCATATGGGGAAGGAGCGTTGTTGTTTGCGAGGTCTTGATCATTTACATGGACCCACTTCTCATTCCATTTGTGGGAATTTGATGATCTATAAACCGTCCCTAACGAACGATCGGCTCATGTTTGAGTATGATGAATCACTTCGTGCCGACCTGTTGCCAATAAACTTTCCGGCCTCATATGAGAATAGAAAACTGGAGCATTTTCTGCATCGGTGGATGAAGAATCGCGAAGATAAGAATTTCTGGTTGACCATGTTCCCAGAAAAAATATACTTTCGAGAAACGACGAGCACGACTGAAGTGGCTATACATACAAATCTATTTACGGATCTATATGCTCCGATTGGAACTGGAAGTTCCAGAACAGGCGGCTGGTATACCACCATAATGAAACTGCCTTTTCTTTTTTTTATTCGGATCGGATTTATGTTGGCTTCGTTGGGGGGCTCGCGTAGTTTGTTACGTCAGCTCCAAAAGGATAAGTTGCGTTGGAATCGAGAAAGTTCCGTGGAGTTCATAATTGCATAAAAGGAGTCAAAGTAGTGGCTGCGGCGCGTTGAGGCACTTCTTCGACGGTCCCCGTACGCCCGGCCTGCCGGCCCGCTCTGAAGAATTCATGGGTCGGCAGGCGGGCGAGCCCAAACACAAGGGGGCGGGCACTACTAACCAAGCCAAGCCCAGTTCTCGCCGATAGGCGCTGGTAGCTTGCTTCCAAGCCTTGCCTTATATGTATGATAGTTGTGGCCATGGCCCGAAGGAGCCTTAAGCACTTGTACAATGCTCAAGTCAAGGCTCCCTCCCACTCGTTGCCCAGAGCCTTGACTTTCTATGTTATTAGTCAAATGCGCGCTACAACTAGCACTTTTTTCTCTGATAGGCTCGCTTCGCTTTTCAAGCTCCGCCCCTTATTATATAAAAAAACGAAAGCGCTAACGCGCCTTGACTTTTTTTTTATATAATAAGGCGCTTCTTTCTACTTCTTTCTCAAAGTCAAGCAAGAAACCTTTCGCCTTTATTGAATATTGAATTGAGGAGATATAAAAGCTTACTTACTAAGCAAACGCCCTATCTTACAACATAAAGGGGCTCGAAAGCAAGAAGCAACGGCTTTCGCGCTTGTTGGAGCTATTAAGGACAGATATGAAATTCCGTTTTTCAGCTGGACAGAAAAGTTGACACTTTTATTACGTAAGGGGGGTGCACACCATGGTCAAATCCGCGTGAAAAACCGCGGGGCCTCATTACTCTGAAGTATTATGCTCCCGCACCCCCCTCTCTCTTAAAGGCTCTGCGTCCCCGCATTCTGATTGATCCTGCAATGTTGTAATCCTGCTGTTCCTTTATCCCCCGCTCTGCAGCTGCTGGGGACTTAGTCATATTTGGAGCCTTTTGCGGTACTGATTGATGTTCTGCGGGATTACTGCGGTTGGCGGACTGTTTGTTTGCGAAGGCCGAAGGACTGAAATGATGTTTTTGGTGTTATTTGACAGAATTGTTGCCGTTTTTCCACGCCTCATTTTCCAGAATATGATTATGAGCTGCACAAGGCTTGAAGCTGGAATTTGAGCATTGAATGCAGAAGATTTTCTTCTTTATTTCCAGTGGACTATTTTCTTCGGCGAGCCCTTTGTCATCCTTAGGTTATTTATTGGCGGATCGGTTTCAGTCTTTATGAAGGTAAGGTCTCTCGTTGAGGCGCCGTCAAAGCCGACTTTTGGGAGTCTTTTCCCATTTCCAAGGTGGTCAGTTTGGCGGCAGAATCGTTCAAGTTGTCTCTCGTTCAGCTTGCATGCAGAATCAGCACGAGTTCAGATGGCTTTCTTTATGGTTTTTATGACTTTTTGACTTTCCACCATCAGCCCACTATAAATAGATCGCTGGGGACGATGGAAAGTGAATTGTTTCGGTTGAAGTCCTCTTCGGGTCTTTTGCAGAAGCAAAGGTAAGGCAAGAGCTTAGGTTGGTCCGCCTAAGAATGAGTAGTCGCGAGCTTTAATTGAAGTAGGGGCGGAGCTCTTCATAGAGAGTTAGAAAGCGTCAGTTCTCATAGCGAGGCTTAGGCCGACGAGGCTAGGGCGAGGCCCCC